CATTGCGATACAAGATTGGTTTTGTGAACTTGTATGTTACTCCCTGTTTCATAAATTTGAAACCAATTGTCTCTGAACAAACTTGACAGATGACAGTTTATTAAAGACATGGTTCTGGGACACTTTTTATGATTCCATTTGCCATGTTTGGGATTACGTGGGTGAGCTCTAAAAGTAGTCCCAAGTGTCCTTGTAAGAGAGGCAGAGGGAAATTTGATCTGATGAGAAGGTAGTGGGATGACTAAAGCAAGATGTTACTGGCTTTGAAAACACAGGAAGGGGTTACAAGCCAAGGAAGGCAAAGAATGCAGCTCTAGAATCTGGAGAAGACAAGGAAATAGATTCTCCCCTTGATGCTCTGCAACAAGTGCCCTGCCAACACCTTGATTTTGGCCCAGTAAAACTGATTTTAGAACCTGACCTCCAAAACTATAGAATAAATGCACCAAGGTGACCAAAGAAACTTTTTAAGTCACCAAATTTGTGGGAAGTTGTCATTGCACCCACAAGAAACTAATCCAAAGACTAAACAGCCTTATATTTACTAGCAGAATGACTTTTATGAAATTGTACCCTATTTTACTCAAATTCCAATTGTCATATTCTAGTAATCTTGTTCCTAAGCACATAGCAAACTATAAATAGGTGATAGCCTCTGAGATCAATGAAAACCCTTTTCATTTAAAAAATCTTTTATTGGCCTCCTCTATTCCTTATTTTCCACCTCATAGCAAAAAAATACTTTCCCTATAGGATAGTTCTTGACCTCTCCTCTCTCCCCCTAATAAACTTGTACTTGTTACTCTGTTCATTGCATAGCTTTATTATTGTAGAGCTAATGCTCCTGGCCTGCTAAGCTCCAGACCCCGCATTTCCAATGGTAAAAAATACTTTCCCTATAGGATAGTTCTTGACCTCTCCTCTCTCCCCCTAATAAACTTGTACTTGTTACTCTGTTCATTGCATAGCTTTATTATTGTAGAGCTAATGCTCCTGGCCTGCTAAGCTCCAGACCCCGCATTTCCAATGGTCTGCCATGCATTTTCAACTGGGTAGCTCATTGGCATCTTACATTTAATGTAACTGGAAATGAATTCTTCCCATGCATAGATTTATAAACAGAAAACCTAATCACACCAGAAAATGAATGCTTCAGTCCAGTAAGATACGTTGAGTTGTTTTACACAATAATGGGAAACTAAAGAAGTATCTTTTTTTTTTTTTTTTTTTGGTGTTTGCAGATGTCAATTTTGAGTAATATTTCTTCACTTTGCCTTGTTTCACATGGACCATGCTAGTCATGGTGCAAATGACTGTAGGAATGGAAAATCTGATTTTTAGACTATTCTGTATGTGAATTCTAACACTATGATCTTCTCAAACAACTATCAAAACTTTAGTTGTTTTTCTATTTATCCTTTTAAACCATACTGCATGCTCACAGATTATATACATCATAAAGTGTTGCTCTGACACCACATTGAAGTTATTTTTAAGTCAGTTTTTACTGGAGCATAATTTACATACACTAAGATGTACCAATTTTAAGTGTAGAACTGATATGGAGCACTTTTTAAGGTATAAGGAAAAAAACAGTGAGGTACAAAAGATTACATACAGTATGCTTCCTATTATGTAAGGAAGGAAAAACATGAATATATATATTTGCCTATGTTTGCAAAATGAAACATAGGAAGGGTAAATCAGGGTAACCAAATGGAATTGGTTAAACTATAATGGGTAGGTGAAAATGGGACCTCTTACATATAACTTTTAAGTACACTTTTGACTTTTGAATCAGTTTAAAATTTTACATATTTATTTAAAAAATGGGAGTAAATCAACAAGAAAGAAAACCCTATAGATCAACACAAAAAATCTGTAGTGAAAATTAATAACATAAAGAATTCAAGTAAAATGGGGGACAGCACTCTACCTTCTCTAAATTTTTTTCTCAAGATTGAAAGAATTGTGAAGAAACCTTGAACTTTACCCTGCAGTTTGTTATTGGTGGTATTAGTGATTTTTGAAACCATTTTGTGTATATTGTAGGACCCAGGACCCAGGATTATCACTGTGAAAGAAGAGTGATAAAATATGAAATGTGGGAGGAGGTGCAGAACTACTACTGGACTTTAATTGGAGGTTATCCTGATTGTAAAATGTGTGTGTATGAACTATCTACTACATGGGTCTATGTAGCACCTTAGTCTTGGTATCTAAATATTTCCCACTAAAAAGAAACAGAGATCCTTAGGAATGACTGATTCCAAGGAGGGACTGTAAAAGGTAAAACTAAAATATATTGTTCCAGAAATCAAGGAAGTGCTAAAAAATGGATGAAGATGTGCCAAAGTAGAAGCCAGCTTACAGGGGCTTCCAATGGCCAAATCTGGGACATTTGAGTATAAGGACAATAACGAATACTGAATAAAAAAGAATCCACAAATCCAGTTATTAACAACAAACTGGTGGAACCAAATAGTAAATGGAGAATTGACAGTAGAAAATCACAATGTGATATCTACAATGTAATACTTAATTCAAGGTTAATAAAATGTAGTTAGGAAACAGGATCTATGCAATCTTAAGGTATCAACCCATAGATGATTATGTAACCACAAAAGACAAAAAAATATTTGTGATGGAATAATGTGGCCTGTACCAGCTTAACCAAGTGATTAAACAGTATCACCAGTAACTGGACAGTGATTTTACATGCCTCCAAAAGTGTTTGAGAAGAACATAAAGTCATGAATTACTGGTGATTAATAATTAATTATTGAGAGAAATCCCAACTGTAGAATATTCTCTGAAATGATTAGTCTGGATTCCTCAAAAATAACCCATGTCATGGAAGAAACAAAAAAGAAGGGAAACTTTTCAAGATTAAGGGAAATTAAATTTAATGCATGATTATTGATTAAATCCTGGGTTTTAAAATATCAGTATAAAGAACAATGTTGGAGCAACTTGGCAAAACCTGAATGTGGACTACACATCAGATTTAAACTATCAACCGTCAAAATTATTTATTTTACTGTGGCAATGTAACTGAGGTATATAGAAGAATAATGTTATTTTTCTGAAGAGACACATCTCAAAGTATTTAGAGATCATATCATGATGTTTGCACCTTACTTTTAAATGAAGGTTCGGGGGAGGACAGGGAGGAAAAATATATGTGACAAAATATTAAACAGTAAATTTAAGTGAAGGTATAGGAATGTTTGTTTTCAACCTTTATTTTTTTAAAGGGAATATTCTAGTGTTAAGAAAAACTTTAAAAATACAATCAGTGACCTTTAGATAAGGAGAAAACCTATAAAGTTATAATATATTATTATTATTATCATGTACCATTGTTGGCAGGCTGTGTTCACAAAATCGGCATCATGTGCTTCCTACAATAATTGAATCTCCTGGACTTATTCTTGTTAAACTGACAACTGGAGACACTGAAGTGCTCATCAGGTTCTCAGAGTTGCCATTCCAGCGGTTTCCTCAGCTTGGATCTGCTCCCAACCAAGGCTCAAAGCACAGATGTACTCATTTCTGGATTTATGGGTCATCAATTAAATCACATTTCAGAATCAATTTTTTTTCAGTGTTGTGATTCAGTCTTCACTGCCCTTGTGTGTTTGATATTTATTTTCAAAAGAAACCCACTGTAATAACTGTACAACTATTCCCCAGTTTTTGAGAATTTATGGGACATTATTTTAACATTATTTAAGATGAAGCAATTGTTTTCTTTAAAAAAATCTTGAGTCTTAAAATTTTTTAAATCCATTTAAAAATAACTGATTTGTTTTATTTGTTGGCCTAGGTTAATGTGCTTATTAGTGTTTTTATGAAATAATGTTATTGTGAGACAATGTATTTTTGAAACATCAAAGAATATATTAGAAATCTAAAGAAATCATCTGTAACTAATTCTATTTCTTTATAACTAAAGAGTGTGGAGACAGACAGACATGGATTCAAGTCCCTGCTGTGGCACTTAGGACTTGTGAGATTCTGAGCAGGTTATTTATTCCTTTCAAGCCTTGATTTATATCTTTGCAAAATGGGGAAATTAATAGTGCCTAGCTAATAGAATTACTATGAAGATTAGTATACAAAGTGTTTACTGAAGAGCCTGATAAGATTAGGTGCGTGGTAACTCATACTGGATGACTCCAGTGATTAACACATAACAAAAGCATGTATCTACTTTTATTTTCTAAAAATAACAGCAAACACTAAAAATCTCCAAACATGAACTGATTTTCATTTTCTGTGAGTCTTTCAATTCCTAAGAATATAAAATCTTCACCTGAAACTCTCACAATCATGAGTGTGGATTTGCAGACAGAGTTTAGTAGGGAACACAATTCATTCAGGCTCAAAGAAACTTAGAGAATACAAACTTCTAATTAAAGAAGAGAACTTCAGTAAATTTGAGATTTGGGTTTATCAGATTACAATGTAATCATGGATTTTTTCTAAGTATGATAAAAGAATTTCCAAAACAGCATTTTAACAATAATGTCTGGTAGTTTATAAACACTACTAACTTGAGAATGGCTATAAAAAGCAAGCGTAAAACTTCAATGTTGCAGCTGATTTCAAGCATTCCTTTTAACAGATTTTAAGTACCAAAATCTCCTAGAGGTATGATCACTTCAAATCTCCCCTTTATACAGGATATTGTAATATGTTCAATTTGAGACATCAAAAAACATTTAAAATAGACACCACAAAATGTATCTGTAGTTTAAAGGTCAAATTTATTAAGAGACTAAGAGCTGTATTATACATGGCCTATAAATACTGCACAGCTGACTTATTCACAATCACGCAGAGATCTAGTCAGTGCCAACCTATTTGGTGGATACTCTTGTTCTTTTGTTCCAAGAAAAGTTTAAGCCATAAGATTTGTACTTGGGTTTTGGAACCTTTCTCTCTTCAACATCATAGCTCCATCCTAGAAAACAAGAACAAAACCCCACATGAACAGAATTAAAGAGGATACCTGAACAACACAGCAATCAGAAACTTTCATGAATTTAATGTTGATCTACCATCAGGAGTAAATGTCACATCTGAAATATAGTAATGCATTGCCTTATAATCCTGTGTGACAAGAGGGTCCAAAATATTGCCTGAAGATTATTTACCATATCTCAAAGATGTAATCATGATTTGATTTCTCCTTGTTCAGTATTCCCCAATTACTGATGGTATGTATTATATAAAATTTGCCATTCCTCTCTACACGGTTATGTATATAACTTCTTTAATAACTGCAATGAGGAGTATGAATAATATAACCAGTCTTATTGTTTTCTAAAAGCTGGTGACTTTATAACAGTTTGGAGCTCACTTGAAACAACACAGAAAAACATGTACATACTTATTTATATAAATCACAGAGGTGGAGCAGACGATTCAAAATTACTTGGTTTAGCACCTTGAACTTTGACAGGCTACTGATTAAACTTGAAGACTTTTTCAACATTGGTTTCACAGGTGTACTCATTAACAGTACAAACTCTTAGGCCTGACCAAAGGCTTATTGGATTAGAATCTCTGGTGGATGCCTGGGAATCTGCACTTTCAGTATTCATCACTGGAGATTTTTATGCATAGAAGTTTGAGAACCACTGGTATAAACTGTCTATTCTGAGAGTTTGTCTTTTCTCCAAAGCCCTTCTCAGTGTTTCATAATTTTGAAAGCTGGATTTATGTATGTCTCTGTCTTCTGCTTTAAATCCAGTTCTTCTAAGACATTGAGAACAACTAACTCAACATCCTCTTCACTGAAAACATATTTGTCACCTAGTCCAAGCAACCTCTGTAACTTTCTTCTTCATAAGGTCCATTTTCCATCCCTGTAATTTATCCTCCTCTCCCAGGACTTTCTTCAAATTAACTCACCTTGAAACATTTAATTTATGGCTGAATCATGCAGTCATTCATGTATGAAATGTCCATGTCCAAACTGAATATTACAGTCTAATGAGTAAGATTCTTGATCTTCTGAGTTGTTGTAAGTTCTAGTGCCTCTTGGTGACTACAGTATTTGCTGCCACAAGGTAAACATTTCAATAGAGCTCCTTAGTTAGAATTCAATTTTGCCACAGAGTAAAGCCAATGCAACTCAAGTCATCAAAGTATATTGCTATCATTGCTTATTTCAGTGTCCAAAAAGGGAAAATAATAATCTCACTGCTAGAACTCTTCAAAGAAAGTCCATTTGCTATAAGAAAATGGATAAGGAGGAAAGCAAATGAAACAAATGGTTTAAAAATACAAATGAAACACCAGAATCCAGGAGAGAAAATATTGATTCAATTCACTTGCTTAACATAACCTTACTTTCACAGAAAAAAAAAAGTGCCTTTAATGGTAGGAAAGTAGTCTCCTACCCATTAAAACAAAACAAAAATCACAAAGCTTCATCTTACTTTAAAAGGACCTGAACTTCATTAACAAGTAGTTATTTGAATTTCAAAAAGTTTGCTGAAAGGCCTAAGAATAGTAGATACTTCACACATTGTCATGAGGATTAAACAAACCAATTGGGTGCTTAGAAAACACTTGGCAGTTAACCATCACTGAACTCTATGAGAAAGGTACTTTTCTAAAACTCCTATATGAATATTATTTCCTTTTTGTAACTAAGGAAATTGAGGCACAGAGTGGTTAGGAAACTAGCACAAGGTCATTCAGCTAGGAAGCAGGCAGAATTTCAGGGCTGAACACAGCCTGACTATGGAGCCTGTGCCTCAACTATACTGTCTCTTGTGGCTTATGTGCACTTGATAAATGTTAAGCTACTATTTCTCCCCCAGATTTGACTTGCAACTTCCTAACAACACATCTTCCACATGAAGTAAAGTATCAGTGTATGTAAAATTTCCATCACATCAGAAAATCTTAATTACATTTTAATTTGTGAAGCTTTTGTTCTAGTTATTATATAAAGGGTTTTCATAAGCAAATTAATACTGTGAACACGATAACTTTAACAAAAACTCAACTTCCTACATTAATCAGCAAGTGATGCTGATAATTATTTAAAAAATCAACTCAACAGAGCAGATATAAAAATAATATTTACTGAGCACTTGCTATCATTTAATAAACATTGACTGCCTACCTTGTGTCAGGACTTGTAAGAAAACAGAGGTAAAGCAGTAAACTAGACAAAAAAAATTCCCAGACTTTTCCAACTTGGGGAAGAGAAATTAATAAGTAAATGCATAGTATATTAGTACATAGTATAGTAATACCTCAGATCAAAAGTACTTATTATATGCTAACGAATACTAAGGAGAAAACATTTTAAAGAGGGTAGACAGGAAATCCTCCCTCCTTGAGAAGGTCACATCTGAGTGAAGACCTGAAGGTGGTCTGAGAGTTAGTAGTGGGGATGTCTGGGAGAGGACACTGCAGGCAAAGAAAACAGAAGTACAATGGCCCTGAGGCAGGACTCTCCTTGGTATTCCATGTTTTAGGTCTTGTGCTAAGTATTAAATGTATTTTTATTGAGTTTTAAAATAGAGTTCAAAGGCTGCTTGGCTTATGAGGTAGGCATTATATATACCCCAATTTTATATTTGATTATGAGGAAAAATAAAGCATAGAGAAGATAAACAAACAGCTTAAAGGCACATTGGCTAATTAAGTGGCAAAGCCAGGACTTTAACCCAGGCTGACTTTAAAGCTATGCACCTAACCAACCCAAATAAAACTGCATTTCTTTGAAAATATCCTGTAATTGCTGTTTTTATTCATTTTCCTGTCCTTTCAGTCTGTGTAATTCAGTCTTTTCAACACACTCACCAAAAGAAAAGTTACAATTTTAAGAATCGCTGAGAAGTAAATACATGTCCCTCATATGTGTCCTTCCCAAACACACTACCCCACAAGTTGTGGAGAAAGGAAATGGTTTCTAGGGTAGATTCTATGTCTGGTTATGACTGCTGGTAAGTTACCCAAGGCCTTCATGATTTTTTCCTGCCAAAATTTGGGTGAGAGAATCTATGTTCCCTCCTCACTCCGCCTCCCAGCACACTCTCTCCCACCCAGTAGAGAGTTCATGAGAGGAACTGAAAAAGAAATGAGAAAGCACTTGGAAATATTTAGGAACTAGTATTATACACAAAACCTGATAATCACTCTCTCATTTACACAGTTTGTCTTTCAACCACCACAAAGAAATTTATTATTTTTAAACTGGATCAGAATGCAGGCATAGCTCTGTTATCTGTTCTGTTCATGGAGTCTCAAAATGCTGTCAGGGTCACCACAATGTGAGAAGACAGAGGTTTTGTACAAATAGAAGAACTGGTTTGGGTTTTCTCCTGGTAACTAAGCAGTGACCTGGCTCTTGGGAATTGTGAGTCAGATTACAGCTGCTGTTGATGGTGATAAGAACGATAAATACAAGTATCATTATTAGGGACAGGAATGTGGATGGGCAAAGCAAACACATTTGTTTGTGAAAACAAACAAAACACACATTTGCTAAAATTATCCATCACTATATTACTACTCTACCACAGCCACTAGTGATTGTTGGGATCCTTTCCCTCACATTTTTCTGTGGAAAACTGTTCCCGAAGGTGCACAAGCAATTGTGCTTCTCTAAGTAAAAGCAAAGAAGGATATGTGGAAGTCTAATGACAATTCACAAGAGACTGAAATCAGATCATAATCTACACAGATCACCTTTTGGATTTTCTATCCATCATTAAGAAAACTCCTCTTCTCTGTAGGACTGATGTTATAATGAAAATGTGATCTCTTTTGGAACTCTTAATCTGGCCACATTTCCAAGCATCCCTATCCAAAGTGTTTGCACCTTTAAGTGCCATGAACAAACTCACTGGTCCCACTACACTTCACACCACAAGGTTTCCCAGATGATCTTTATATACTGTGGCAATATAAAGATAACTGGGGCAAGCAGTGACCTTTAGCTAAGAAGACACAATAAGAATAACAATTGAAAGGTCATTAAATATTCATAGTTAAGGGGTAAATTAAATGAACTAGACTCATTTTTTTCTATTTATCATTTGAAACCTGTTCTTAGAAAATATAACTTGCAAGAAATAGAATGTAGAAATTTAAGAATGGAATCTTATTTATAAAATGTTAAGTTTCTGCAAGAATATTTTTAACCCTAAAATAGAATCTTTTTCAACCCCCCTAAAATAGGTGTTTCTTTTAAAGAAATACCTCAGACGTGAGTTTCTGAGTGAGATCATGGAAGTGAAAACACTTGCACTCTCTGAACCACAGCATATAAAATGATATAAAAGCAAGGTGTAGTCTAGGACAAAGGACCCTTATGCTGTTCTGTAAGGACACTGAAAACCAGCCCTTGCTCTTCCCAGCTGTGCAACAGAAGAACATCAAAGCAACTGAGTCCAAAGCAGCTGCCCAAGGGATGCGGTAAAGCTCCCAGGGCTGCTGTCACTTCCCAGAGGAGAGCAGCCATATGGCATGGATTAACCACAAATCCAACTACCAGCACCTATGATGAGAAGCTAACTCCTTTTGCTAATTCACACACTGGAATGCTTTCACGAAGATATTTTCAACTTTAAGCCCTACCTCTGGCAAATGCTCCAGCACACTTAAAATGTGATCTGTAATATCCTATGCTCAATTTCTTTTTCAGAAACATGCCCATTTACTTTGTTGATTTCCAGACTGTGGTTGGAATACTCTACTTACTACAATATGAAAGTTTGGTTTAATCTTTTCAAATGCCTTGAAAAATGAAAAAAAAAAAAGCCTCTGAACAAAACCAGACCACAACAATTAACTTACAAATTCCATGTATGAGACAGAAAAAGAAAATTAGTTCCATTCATTTTTATTTACAGAACCATTTTATTTATGGTTCAGTGATGCAAAAATACAAAGAAACATTCATCAGTGCTTTTATTGCTTGTGAAATGTTACCTTTAGTAACCTTGGTTCAAGGCCTATGAAAGGGCTTTCTCTTTTAATAACCTAATATCAAACCTGATAGTAGTTCAGTAGTGAACAGTGTAATGATTTTTCCTACTGTCCATTGTGTACAAAGCAGGAACCACCACATAATTTGGCACAAACTGACACAATGGGCAGTCACTGCTAACAAAGACATGGGATCAGAGTAGCAAGGCCTTGGAAGGCACAAGTGAGGTATGTTGGTACTTGGAAGGTTTTAAGATTCCTCACCAGGCTATGTATCCATATTAAGCCTAGATGGAAGCAAAGCATAAACTTTAAAATATAAAGGAAGAAGGCGAAAGAAAGAAAAAAGAACTTTTCAGAAATTTCACTTTATAAGTCTGTATTTTGAAATTCCCAAGTACCTAATATTTGGGGGAGGGGAGGTTCACAGTAACTTAGAAGTATCTTAGATCTTTTGGGAAATATTATGGAGGAGAAATAATAGGGATTTGGATATACTGGAAAAGCAATTCTTTCCATGAAAATTATATAAAATGACTTAAGCAAATAAGATGAAAATGTGAGACATCTGAAGTATTTATTAGATTAGTACCACGGTATATCTGCCACAGCTGCAACACCTCAAAAAAAAAAACCACCTTTGATGTGATAGTGGCTCCTTTAAATGTATTATCTTTTCAAATAATATAGTTGCTATACAGTATTATTCTTTTTTCCAAGCAGTCACTGTAACCAAATACTTCAGAATTTGCCACAAAACAAACTGGTTTGTGTTCCAAAAATACATTTGGAAATCAGTCATTAGAAATTTAGAACAAGTTTTTCTAGAGAAAAACAGTGGTCGATGTCCAAAAATCACAATCAGAGATTTTGACATAACTGGTCTCAGGTGTGTGGTCTGTGCACTGGGATTTCCAGAATCCTATTTACAATACATAGGAACTTTCCTAAGCCACTATAACATTCTCTCTCCAGGAAAAATTGTTTCAGACTTACCATGGGGAATCTAAGGAATACATCTCTCTTGTCTCTCAAGGGGCCTTAGCAGTCTAGGTAAACATTTCCTAGCCACAAGACAACTAGTACTGGGGACTGGGAACAAACAGT